ATTTAAACAGACGCGATCTGCTGTGCGCAGGAGCTCCAGGGGAAGTTCAGGTCTGTACCAGCCCCCCTCACTTCCACCCCCTCACTTCCACCCCTCACTTCCACCCCTCACACCCCATTTTTGTGTTTTTTCTTCCAAGAACTGCTCAAACACATTAAGTGTTGTCCTAACTAATGTCCTGTTCTGTAACGTGTTCCTCCAGTTCTGGACACAAAGGCAAACTTTTACTGCCACTGCTGTGACATCTGCGTACTTTTTCCACCAATATTGATAAAGGAACAGGTCACCAATATCAGCCAATATTATCAGCCAATATTATCAGCCAAACAATGTATCAGTCTTGCCCTAAAATCAGTCCTACGTTGACCTTTAAAGGGTCCATATCCTACATTTCTCTTGTACTTATTCTTTTTCCTGAGATCCACTTATGATGTTTGTGTGGTTTCATGTACCAAAAACAGCCATAATTCATTTTTCATACTACACTTTTCCAGCCTGGCTTTGTCCCTTAGATTTAAACAGGCTGTTTTGGTTACTGTGCCTTTAAGACTGGTATATGTAAATAAGCTCTGATTGGCTGTGCCTGATTAAAGAAGCAGTTCAGTGTGAAACACTCCTTATAACCTTAAACCCTTGAGAATGGGCGGGGCTACATAGCTGTAGGCTGAATATGTAGATATAAGGAAATATGTTGGCTTTTTAATGACATCACAAAGGTCATGAATTGAAAATAGGCAATTTTTGTACGCTCATTGTCCATTTTATCAGCTCCACTTACTATATAGGTGCACTTTGTAGTTCTACAGTTACAGACTGTAGTCCATCTGTTTCTCTGTGTACTTTGTTAGCCCCCTTTTACCCTGTTCTTCGGTGGTCAGGACCCCCCATGGACCCTCACAGAGCAGGTACTGTTTGGGTGGTGGATCATTCTCACTGACGTGGTGGTGGTGTGTTAGTGTGTGTTGTGCTGGTACGAGTGGATCAGACACAGCAGTGCTGCTGGAGTTTTTAAACACTGTGTCCACTCACTGTCCACTCTGTTAGACACTCCTACCTTGTCAGTCCACCTTGTAGATGTAAAGTCAGAGACGATAGCTCATCTGCTGCTGCACAGTTTGTGTTGGTCATCCTCTAGTCCTTCATCAGTGGTCACAGGACGCTGCTCACAGGACGCTGTTGGCTGGATATTTTTGGTTGATGGACTATTGTCAGTCCAGCAGCACTGCTGTGTCTGATCCACTCAGACTAGCACAACACACACTAACACACCACTACCACGTCAGTGTTACTGCAGTGCCGAATGCCAAAGTTTCCTAAACAGCTATTTAAATGGATGGTAATTTAAAGAACTAAATGGGGTGTGAAAAAAAAAACATTCCGTAAATGTTCTAGATAATTCCTGTAAGTAAAATGTAAAAGTCTGTCCTGGATATGTTATAATTTCTCTCCTGTTACTGTGCGAATAAGTGCAGTTGTCCTTTGGGACACAAGGGGGCAGTATTGGGCCAACAAGGCCAGATAGAAACTAATAGAGAAACCTACCGACTCAGATGTCTTTACAGTGGTGGTGATAGGAACCAGTGGTCGCCATGACTACAACACAAATATAGACATCTTATTTACTATCCAGAAGCACCAGTGAACCTACACGAGTCTTCTGAGTTTATATGGAATGTTGATGATGGAAAATAGTGATAAACCTGTGAATGATAAGCTTTCTTGTGGACTATTTTGCCTTAGAACACCCTGCATGTATCCCTCCACCTTAGAAAATGAGGTTTTGGCCAAGGAACGTATCCTTAGCCATTTAGTTTAGCTTTCTGTGAGGGAGGCATCGAACTCTTCAGACGTCTCGTTCCTATCAGCGCCACGGTGACCGATTCCCTAAAACGGAACGTTTCACACTCTCTGAATGACTTTGTTGACGTCTGAACCGTTACTTTATGCAGAAATGGACAGTTTGTGTTAGCCATTCTGGTTCAGCCCTTCATCAGTGGTCAGTTTCTGACCACAGAGCTTCTCCTGTATGGACATTTCTGGGTGGTGGGACCACACTAAGGTAGTCTCTTAGCTCCTCCCCCTTTTCCTCCAGACCAATCACATTCTCTCCACAGCTCCAGGGTTTACAGCCGAGCACATACACAAACCTTCATACAACTCTCTCTCCCTCTCTCTCTCCCTCTCTCTGTACCCTCTCTCCTCTCTCTGTACACTCTCTCTCTCTCTCTTTCTGTACTCTCTCTCTTTCTGTACTCTCTCTCACTCTTTCTCTCTCTCTCTCCCTCTCTCTCTCTCTGTCTCTCTCTCTCTCTGTACTCTCTCTCCCTCTCTCTCTACTCTCTCTCACTCTCTCTCTCTCTCTCACTCTTTCTCTCTCTCTCTCTCTGTATCTCTCTCTCTCTGTACTCTCTCTCTCTCTCTCTCTTTCTCTCTCTCTCTGTCTCTCTCTCTCTCTCTCTGTCTCTTCCCGTCTCTCTCTCTCTCTCTCTCTCTCTCTCTCTGTACTCTCTCTCTCTCTCTCTCTCTCTCTCTCTTTCTCTCTCTCTCTCTCTCTCTCTTTCTCTCTCTCTCTCGTTCTCTCTCTCTGTCTCTTCCCGTCTCTCTCTCTCTCTCTCAATTCAATTTTTTTTTCAATTCAATGTTGCTTTATTGGCATGACAAATATTAACACTTGTATTGCCAAAGCTTTTGTTGGGAGATTAAGAACAAAGTACAACATATACAAAAAGCAGTAACAGATATAAAGCAAGAACAGATATAACAGGTGTTATAATAATTATAATAATAATAAGCAGAATGTATGTGTTTATAGGTGTGTATCTCTGACATGGTGTGGTCACTCACTGTCCCTCAGAGTGTGGCAGGTGTGAACGTACTGCGCTGCCAGTGTGCAGAACTCTTTATGTTCTCCTAGAACGTATGGCAGCTTCTCTGTGGGGGGAAGATTTTCAAATACAGGACATGTTTTGGTGATTTTACTGAAGAATTCTGTTCTAATCTGAGTAAATTTGGTACATTCAGTCAGAAAGTGCAGCTCTGTCTCAGGCCTATTCTGCTGGCACTGCTGGCACAGTCTTTCCTCTTTTGGTAGCCAAGATTTCCTGTGTCTCCCCGTCTCTATGGCCAGACGGTGCTGACTGAGTCTGTACTTCGTCAAGGTGGACCTCAGTTTAGGGTCAGTCAGTGTGCTCAGGTAATCTGCTACACTGTACTGACGTTTTAGGGCCAAATAACACTGCATTTTACTCTGTGAGTTTGACTCGCTTTCCCAATAGGTGAGATAATTCAGTTTGAGCTGTTTTGTAATTTGGTTCGCTCTAATTAGGTTTCCTAGTGTGTTCTGGTCCTGAGCCTGTGGAGTGTTAGTGTGTGTTAGTGGGGTGTTAGTGTGTGTTAGTGAGGTGTTAGTGTGTGTTTGTGTTGAACTGTGCTTCAGGACCAGCTGAGTGAGGGGACTGTTGTCTTTGCTCAACTCTTGGTACTGCAGGGCTTTATAATGATATGAGTGAGGGTCGCTGTCTTTTAAATGTGTCCAAAATTTTTTGTATTTTTATAATTAATGGAAATCTGCCTAATTCTGCCCTGCATGCGTTGTTTGTGGCGTTTCTGTGCACCTTTAAAATATTTTTACACAGCTCTGCATGCAGGGTCTCAATCGGATGTTTGTCCCATTTGTGAAATTCCTGATTAGTAAGCGGGCCCCACACTTCACTGCCATAAAGGGCAATAGGTTCAATTACTGATTCAAATATTTTTAGCCAAATTCTGATTGGAATTTCCACAGGAATTTGTTGTTTTATGGCATAGAAAGCCCTGCGAGCTTTGCCTCTCAGTTCATTCACTGCCAAGTTAAAATTTCCAGAAGAACTGATGTTTAAACCTAAATAACTGTAGCTATTTGAATACTGAATATTATTCATACCTAACCTAAATGTGTGTTGTTTTCCCTGAGATCTGGATCTTTTCTGAAATATCATTACATTTGTCTTTTTTAGGTTTACTGCCAGGGCCCAGGTCTGGCAGTACTGCTCTATCAGGTCCAGGTTCTGCTGTAGGCCCTGTTCTGTGGGGGACAGCAGAACCAGGTCGTCTGCATAGAGCAGGAATTTAATCTCTGAGTCGTGCAGAGTGAGGCCGGGAGCTGTGGACTCCTCTAATATCTTCGCCAATTCATTAATGTAAATATTAAATAGTGTTGGGCTTAAACAGCAGCCCTGTCTCACTCCGCGCTCCTGGGAGATGGAGTTTGTTTGTTTATTGCCAATTTTTATGCCGCATTTATTTCCTGTATACATTGATTTAATTAGATCATATGTTTTACCCCCTACACCGCTTTCTATAAGTTTATAGAATAATCCTTGGTGCCAAATAGAATCAAAAGCCTTTTTGAAATCAATAAAACATGCAAAAATTTTGGTATTATTTTGGACGATGTATTTATCAATAAAGGTGTGTAGGGTGTAAATATGATCGGTGGTGCGGTAATTTGGTAAAAATCCAATTTGACTTCTACTCAAGACACTGTGCTCCATAAGGAAGTTTAGAAATCTAGAATTTAAAATGCTGCACAGTAACTTCCCCAGATTACTGTTCACACAGATGCCTCGGTGATTGTTTGGGTCGAATTTATCTCCACTTTTAAAGAGTGGGGTTATTAGTCCTTGATTCCAGATTTCAGGGAAGTAACCTACACTCAGAACCAGATTAAATAACTTTAGAATAGCTAATTGAAATTTAGAATTTGAGTTTTTTATCATTTCATTCAGTACTCCATCAGGCCCACAGGCTTTCTTTGGTCTTAGTTTGTTAATGTTCTCCTTCAGTTCCTGCTCAGTAATCGAGGAGTCTAAAGGGTTCTGATTATCCTTTATAGCCAATTCTAGTTCTTCAAGCTTTTTGTTTATATGGTTTTGCTGAGGATTCGTATTTGAGTCTACTTTGCTGAAGAGTGTTTTGAAATGATCTGTCCAAATATCACCGTTTTGTATTGCCAATTCTTCATGGTCTCGTTTTTTAAGCTTGTTCCAGTTCTCCCAGAACTGGTTTGGAT